TTCCTCGGGATAGAGGAGGAGACGTGCAAGCAGTAGTTCCTTGTGGTGGAAAGAAGAAGAAAGAAGAAGAAGAACATTGTTCTCCCTTGGCTTCTTCTTGGTGGCTTGTGGCGGAAGATAAATTGGGTTTATTTCTCTTGTAAGTTTATCTTCTTCTGTGTATCTTTGTGTAGAGAGAGAAGAAGAGAGGCAAGGAAGTTAGAGATCCTTCTTGTAGGTCGAAACAATCGACTGATATAAATTTCTCAAGTAGTAAAATCCTTTGCAACTTCGTGGACGTAGGAAATTTGTCGAACCATGTAAATTCTGCAACTCCGTGGACGTAGGAAATTTGCCGAACCATGTAAATCTGTGTGCTCCGTTGTGTTACTGTTTTCTGGTATGAATTTTCTCGTTCTATTTTTTCACTTCTTCGAAGATCATTCTTCTGTTATATATATATATATATATATATATACCATAAAAACTTATATCAAAGTCAGAGATTTCAGATCTGAGAAAGATTCGATTCTGAGGAAAGAATGATGTCTGCAAATGAAGTGAAGGTTTCAAGAATCGAGAAGTTTGATGACACACAGTTTGATGACACAGATTTTAGTTATTGGAGGATGCAAATAGAGGACTACGTCTATAGGAATAAACTTCATCTTCTATTATTGGGGAAAATACCTGAAAGAATGGATGAGGTTGAATGGATTTGTTGGATCGATAAGTTATAGGGGTTATTTGATTGACCCTATCGAGGCTTGTTGCACACAACGTCGCCAAGGAGAGGACGACTGCATATCTCATGGCAGTCGTATCAGGTTTGTATGAAAAGTCATCAACAAATAATAAGGTGTATTTGATGAAGAAGTTTTATAGGGAGATGACATGAAAGGGAGATGGAGATGACACTGAATGTTTTCAATACTATCAAAAATCAATTGTTGTTTGTGGAAATTGATTTTGATGAGATATGTGCACTGATTTTGTTGGTTTCATTGTCAGATAGTTGGGAAATCATGAGGATAGCTGTTAGCATTTCTGCAGGTAAATTTAAACTGAAATACGATAATAGTCGTGATTTGATTTTGGCTGAGGAGGTGCACAAGAAAGATTCTAGCGAGATCTCACACTGAATGTTGATTTCAGAGGGAGATCACATGACATGAACTCAAATAGAGGGAGATCAATATCAAAGTCTGGTCAGCAGGCAACCTGCTTGAACCGTGGCAAGGCTAACCACAAAAAGATGAACTGTAGGAATCCCAAGAAGATGGAAAATGATAATGTAAATGTAGTATCTGAAGAAGTACATGATGCACTATTGCTGGCAGTTCATAGTTATGTTGATGATGGAAGTGAAGATGAGAGAGGGTCTGGGGCACCCATTTCTATTATTCTACAAACAAATGGAGACGAACCACAATGCTATGAAGAAATCTTGCAAGATAAAAGTTCAAGCAAGTGGGAGCTGACAAAACTTCCACCAGGGAAGAATGCATTACACAACAAATGAGTGTACCGGGTGAGGAGTGAGCGTGATTGCAGTAAGAAGTTGTTGCCCTCTCGAGTAGAGAGAAGGAGAGGTGAGAGAGAGGGAGAAAGAGAGAGAGTTTCTTGTAATCCTTGAGGAAGAAACAACGGTGAGGAATATATCGACTTTGTAATTCCTTTGAGTTGAGATAAGTATTTCTTATAAATTGAAACATTGTGGTGTAAACTCCTCAAGTAATAAAATCCTCTGCAACTCCGTGGACATATGCAATTTGTCGAACCACGTAAATTTGTGTTCTTTTTGTGTGAATTTTCTCGTTCTATTTTTCACTTCGTCGTCGATCATTTTAAATTTTCATATGTACCACAACAACTGGTATCAAAGTCAATGGCTGCAAACAAAGTGAAGGTTTCAGGGATCGAAAAGTTCGATGGCACAGATTTTGATTATTGGAGGATGCAGATAGAGGACTACCTCTATGGGAAGAAAATTCATCTTCCGTTATTAGGGAAAATACCTGAAAGAATGGATGAGGTTGAATGAAATTTATTGAATCAACAAGTTTTGGGGGTTATTCGATTGACTCTATCGAGGTTCGTTGTACACAACGTCGTTAAGAACAGGACGACTGCAGATCTCATGACAGTCTTATCTGGTATGTATGAAAAGTCATCGGTGAATAATAATGTGTTTTTGATTAAAAAATTATTTAATTTGAAGATCGTGGAAGGTGTTTCTGTTGCTCAACACCTAAATGATTTCAATACTATCACAAATCAGTTATCGTCTTTTGAAATTGATTTTGAAGATGAGATACATGCGCTGATATTATTGGCATCGTTGTCAAATAGTTGGGAAGCCAAGAGGATGGTAGTTACCAATTCTGCAGGTATCTGAAGAAGTACATGATGCACTATTGCTGGCAGTTCATAGTTATGTTGATGATGGAAGTGAAGATGAGAGAGGGTCTGGGGCACCCATTTCTATTATTCTACAAACAAATGGAGACGAACCACAATGCTATGAAGAAATCTTGCAAGATAAAAGTTCAAGCAAGTGGGAGCTGACAAAACTTCCACCAGGGAAGAATGCATTACACAACAAATGAGTGTACCGGGTGAGGAGTGAGCGTGATTGCAGTAAGAAGTACAAGGCTAGACTTGTTGGAAAAAGTTTTCAGCAAATGCAGGATATTGCCCATGTAGTGGGAGTTGCAAGCAGAGATAAGAGTAATCCAGGAAATAGCTTGGAGGTACAAAACTATGTGGACCCTACTGATATGTTGACTAAGGGTGCTACTCTTGAGAAACTAAAGTTGTGCGTAACTTCAATTGGTCTTTTAGTGTGAAGACAAGGGGATTTGAGTTGCAGAGGTGGAGGATTCATGTTTGAAGAAAAAGGCGCCGCCGCCAATGGAGGATATCAGTTTGAGGAAAGAGAAGTTGCTGCCTGTTTACCGTACTCAAAGTGGGAGATTTGTGAAGTGTTGAGCCCAGTTAAGTTAAAATAAATAAAAAAGGCTTGTCCCACTCCCGCCTTCGCCCAATCACGAGCAGTCGAAACTCCCGTCCGCCAGCACTTGCTCCCTCCTCTCCCTAACTGCTCCCACCTCTAGTTTCACAATGGAAGCTTCTCCCGCCTCTTCTAAATAGAATAGACACACCTTTTGCTGCCAACCAATCCTGCCATCCATATTTAAGTGTGAATTAAAGAGAGAGAGAGAAGCTTAAGGCGGTAGAAAGAGGAAGAAAGGTATTGCATGACTCTCCTTCAAATTAATACACTACCTTTTTGTGTTCTTCTTCGGGCTTCCTCGGGATAGAGGAGGAGAAGTGCAAGTAGTAGTTCCTTGTGGCAGAAGGAAGAAGAAAAAAGAATAAGGAGATTGTTCTCCCTTGGCTTCATCTTGGTGGCTTGTGGCGGAAAAGAAGGTAGTAGTTCCTTGTGGCAGAAGGAAGAAGAAAAAAGAATAAGGAGATTGTTCTCCCTTGGCTTCATCTTGGTGGCTTGAGGCGGAAGAGAAATTGAGTTTATTTCTCTTATAAGTTTATCATCTTCGGTATATCTCAGTGTAGAGAGAGAAGAAGAGAAGAAGAGAGAGCAACGAAGTGAGAGATTTCTCTTGTAAGTCGAGGAGATCGACTGGTGTAAATTCCTCAAGTAGTAAAATCCTCTGCAACTTCATGGACGTAGACAATTTGTCGAACCATGTAAATCTGTGTGTTCTGATGTATTACTATTTTCTGGTGTGAATTTTCTCGTTCTTCTTTTTCACTTCGTCGAATATCGTTATTCTGTTTTATATATATTTACCACAACAGACCAATTATGCTCCATTTTTCTCCTTTTTCTCTTAAACTCCATTTCTTGCACCTAAAATCAATAACACATAAAATATCTTTCATTAAAGTCCAATATCATTAAAAACAAGCATGAAATATATAGTTAAAAACATGTAATCTTATGGCGTGCCAGCATCTGAAGACCCACCTTAAAATTGTTCTTATAAAAGACTAAGGAGAAAAATCTCTTGTAGCCCTTCGTGGCCGGTGGCCGGTAATAGGAGAATCGTATGATCAAGAACATAACGAATTTGGATCTATTCCACGTCTGCCACGTAGAGGACCAAAATCTCCAAAGCAAAAATTGAGCTAAATGATTCCTAAGAATACTTCTGAATCATGAAGCCCATGATACTGTGCAAAAAGGAGAAGAGAAGGAAAGAAATAGTAGAACCCAAAGAAAGGAGAAAAATGCAGTGAAACCTGAAGAAAAAAAAAAGAACAAGGATTCTCAGCCACTGCACAACCACACACACACACCCCGAGAAATAGTAGAACCCAAAGAAAGGAGAAAAATGCAACGAAACCTGAAGAAAAAAAAAGAACAAGGATTCTCAGCCACTGCGCAACCACACACACACACACACACACACACGCGCGCGCGCGCGCACACACACACACACACACAGATATATAAGTGTGTTATTGTGATAGTATTATGCTAGTTTAATGGCAGTATTCTACCGTTTCACTCGTGATAAATTCTACAACCATAATACTATGGTGATAAGATGAAATACTTTCTCTTTCAATACAAAATCATCATTCCATATGGTTAATTTAGCTATCAAGCTTGTCATTGAACAAAACAGGTAAAAAATTATGAAACCATGCTTATCTCAGACACTTTTTGAAAGCAAGTATAACCACATAACCAACATTACTTGGATGCTCTCTGTTCTAGTATAACCACATAACCAACATTACTTGGATGCTCTCTGTTCTGTTTTTCTTAGATTCTTTCATTCTTCTATATTAGCTTGCTTGAAAACACAAAGAAAAATACATGAGTTCACATTTTAAACAATAAACCCTTACACAAGACTTATTTCAAAAAAATCTAAACATAACAAGACTTACAAGATGAGAGAGAGGGATATCAAATGTTTCTTATCTGGTGACGGACAATATGTGAGATTTTAAATGAATCAAATCCTAGCTACCAAATCATATATGGAAAACATGAAGAGCCCAATGACCTACAGTTTTATTTTCAAAGCTCTGAACTCATTCGGATCGCGTCAATCACCAATATAGCTCTTCCCCTCCAGGCTTTCGCTGCAAGCCGTAAGAGGAGAAAAAAAAAAGGACCGCCCCAGTAGCTCGTCGCACCTCTCCCCTCTTCGCTTTCATCTAGCTCCCTACAGTCCTGATCACAAAACCTGCAAACAAATTTTACTTAACCGCTGCGTCTTCGTCTCGAGACCGGGATCTCTACGTCGTTCTCACTTCGTCTTGCTGATGGGTTGCGCTTCCTCCATTCCAGGTATTCACTCACCATTTCTCCCTTCTCTTTAAGGGTTTTCTACCCCCTATACCCTAAGCTAGATACTTTCCTTACCTATAGTTTTCGATCCAATTGTAACATCCCTTAAACATTGAATTCACTGTTAGTGGTTATTTTTTGTGGCTCATCTTTTGTCTAAGCAATTTTTTCCCCCCGTTTTGTTCGTGTTTTTTTGGCCGTTGTGTTTGTTAGGCTGTATTGAGTTATTCTTTGTAGGGAAGCTAATGATAGCTGGTAGATTACAAAATTATTCGTATGCCTGTGCTGTGCTTTTTTTTCTTCCTGGACCTGGGGGAACCGTGATTTAAGAGAGAGTTGTTTCTACCTCTTACATCGTTTATTTTTCCTATTACGATATTGATTTAACTTTGAACCCGTTTTGGTGGGATCCCCTGTATAATACGTGGCGTGGATCATCGTGTTTACAAGATTTTTGTTTAGTTTTGCAGTAGTTGTATGACCTTTATGGTTCAGGATTGTTTTGAGTTGCAATCATATTATCGTGTTTATTTCTTTTTAGGGAAGCTGGAGAAGGTTGATGTATTAGGAAATTATTTTTTATCCCTAGTTGTTTTTAAGGGAAATCATGCCGGAAGAAAGTAATTTGAGTTTTTGGAAGGGATTTACCTTTTACGATGCAGATTTTTTGGTTAGTTTTCGATGGATTATTTTGCAAAAATAGCTCTCCTACTCTGTGAGATTGGCTTCTGTTCGGAAGATTTACATTCATAGCACTCAATTCTTATGTATTTTAAATATCTAACACCTATAACTCTTCGAGATTGGTATGCTTACAAAGAATGCTCATGAAAGGTTAGCTCACGTGTATTGAAGAACTTGTGAATTTTTTTTCGTTATTCTTTATGTGAAATCAGTGATATTTTGCTCATTTAGAAATCATGGATATATTTGATTTGATTCTCTCTCTCCCTTTTCCTCCTTTCTCACTCTAGCTCACTAGAATTTCTTCACCTTCTTTAATTTTCCTACCTTTCCTAGCCTTTGTTTGTGCAAGTATTGGATGCATGCATGTGATGAATATGGCATGCTCTCTTGCCAAATCGCCATGTATGAGTTGGAGGACTTCACTCCAATTTTGCCTTGTCTTTAATCACGACATATGATTCAATTGTTGTTCTAGTCACGCGATTTGTAATTTGATTAACAATTTTTCTTTTATGGTATAATATCTGTTAACAAAACTAACATCTGAAAAACTTTTAAAAAAGTTAATTGGTTTGAACTTGAGATATGGGTTGATATATGTAGCCTTATCTGTAATATTGTGTAGTAGTTTTCATAATTTGAACCTATGATCTTTAAGTTTTCATGGAACCAGCTTAACTGTGGTGCTAGGCTTGCCCTTTAGGCTATTTATTTTTTTAAGAGATCATGAGATGAATGGTGACAATGATGTTCTTTAACAGCAGTTCAAGTTTCATATTACATAATTTTTAGGCCTAGCTGACTTCATTTTTTAGGTAATTAATATTACTTTTTGAATATGCACCTATTCTCAATGATCAGTAATACTTAGGAAACATAAGATTGAATAAATTTAGACTTCTAACTTGAAGATAGAGTTACAAAAAGTGCATGTGCTGCATTCTCTTAGTCAATAATTAATAAAATTATTTCCTTGAGAATACTAACAACAATACCAGATAATCTTACAGCAAAGTGATATTTGCAGTTGAATAACGGTGATTTTCAGTGGAAAGTAGAAACTATAACATGAATGTTGTTAAATGTTTGTAATAAAACAGATTAAAAGAGTTTGCACAGGTGAATGATATGAAGAGAAAAAAATACATTTGTATAGAGATACAACTTTGAATATTTCACACATAATCATTTATACTAGTTAACTTATAAGATTGTATGACTGACGGTGACTGGGGGGCAGTAGATGTCCGTTGAATGACTGACAGGGACAATTGTAACAATGTAGTCATAAAGTTAATTTAGTTTTATCTGCCTTCAGTTTGATGTAAATGCTTTACATTAAAGACTTAAAAAATCTTCTACTTACAATATTTTGGTTAAATTATGAGAAACATTTTTTTTTTCGTACTTTTGTTTTTTGGTAAGTATTTATCATACACTTCAAGAAGTTAACCAGGCTATTAAAAGATATGCATCTGATGTAGTTATATCTAGAGTTAACAAGAGTTATGCAACCATCAGATGGAACTTGGGGCATGCTTGGTTTGATGTTATTAACATAACCATATTTTTTAAACGACAATGTTATTTGATGATAGTTATATCTTTATAGTGTAATGCATTTCATTAATATTATTTTACCAGATCATGAGATTATTTAAAATAATTAATGCTGGTTAAGATTTTATTTATTATTTTTAAGCCATTAAAATTGAGGTAATTTAGATAGCAAACAATTTGGCTGCTATTTTGATTACCTTAAACTTAGCTATTAATGCTATTCAAATTACCTTGGTTTGAGAGATAGTCTTAAACCAAACATCTTTTACCTTAAATAACATAATATTTGAATATGTCAAGACTCATCATTTAGAGATTTTGTGTGATATGTGAAACAGCTTTCATTTGGGTATTAGAATTCTGCATTTGATAATAAATTTCTTGCAAAAACTTAAGCAGTATGTATGTCAAAGTGGCTCTCAACTCAATTTAATATTTGTCTAAAATGCATGGATAGTTTTATTTGTGTATGTTAAATATGTTCGTTCTCACAATCATGCTTTCTTTCTACCAAATGAATGGTAATATTTTTTTTTTTCTTACATGTTTAGATGCATCTCATGGTGGCATGTAGCATACTTTTTCTTTGCAATCCATCATTTTTTATTGCCATACCAACCATTTGTAAAAATTAATCAGATTTTTTTTGTCATCAGATAAGAATGCTGGACGCTCAGACAATTTGAATTTAGAGCATTCTGGCATTAATGACCCAAAAAACATTCGAGTCAAGGTATATTTGCAGCTTTTGTCATTTTTTGAGGTTTTCGCTTTGCTTTTTTTTTTTTTGTCATGATTGCTATAGCTTTATAGGCAAGCATTAACCCATAATAAATCATCATGTTCTCCCATCTTGAACAAATTTTTAGCCTTCAATGGTGCATAAAGAATTTGTTTAACCTTTTTTTTTTTTTTGAAGTTCTAGGCGAACTTGAGTTAGTGTTGAAGAAGATAATAAAATGGTTATATTTTTTAAATGAGTTATCTATTAAGATTTTTAGAGTTTTGGAGATAGTGCAGGTTAACAAACTTTTTATAATATACTAAAAACGTATGGAGTTTCAAATTATTCAAGCAGCATTTTGATTAAAATAAAAGGGAGGCCTAGATTTTTGGCATTATTTGGGAAGCAAACTTGGGGCATATTACAAAGTTTTTGAGAAGATAATTGAACAAAGGCTTTGAACAAAGGTTTTGAAAAATCTCATTGCTGGTGTTGAATATATATATATATTTTTTATAATTTTCTGCTTTACAGGCTATATGAAACCATTTTTTTTGGTGCAAGCAAACTAATGGAGAAGTATTGTGGTTAATGAAGGATCAACATTTTTTTTTTTTAGTTTTTAAAATATATGGTGTTAACAAAAAGATCTACTTATGGTTTTTATCAATATTTAAAAGACATGATTGAGTACTACAAAAATTGGGTTTGTGGGCATCATGGAATAATGTAACAAAAATGTTAAGTTGTGGAAACTAATTTTCGACCTACGACGAAAATGCAATAAAAAAACTTAGTTGTCGGTTGACCTCTACGGTAAGATCATTGTAGGATTTGGAAGGGGGCAAAGAGCCCACCTTAGGGCTTTGGGTGTGGAGCACTCTTAGAAGGTATTCAATATTTGTTGTTGCTTTATTAAAGATATCTTTGGGATTTCATATTAACAAACTGTTAGCTATTTAATTTTTGATTTAAGATTTACAAGAGGGAGACATCCTTAAATTTGCTAAATTTTATGGAAGGTAAGATTTAAAAAATATTGGATTTAAGTAGGGATGGGGCTAAAATAGGATTTGAAATTCCGACTTTTTTTAATATATAAGCTAAGTCATGTATAAATTATGCCTAAGTTGGATTTTAAACATTCTATTGGAGAAGATATTAGAAATGAAAGTATTATGGGATGTACAATGTTTTTATAACAGTTATTATAACTCAGACCTCTTCTAAAGTAGAAAGTTATAAAAAGTTAAAAACTATACATATATATAAGATGAAGGGTTTTGCATTATTAGAATTAAGACTGAGTATATGATTTACACTTTACTAAATGTAATACGATTTAGAGATGAATATAGTTACTGTGGTAAAAACTAAGTTGTTAAAGTAAATAAATCAATAAATAAAAAACAAGAGTATCATATTGTAAGAGAATATCATGGAGATTTATATGTATGTTTTATATAATTAAAATTAGAATGATATATGATTTTGAGCATTGGTAACAAGAAAGTCGTTGTCATTCAAGAATATTATGGTAGAAATGTGTGATAAAATGGACATACAGTAACATTAGGAAGGATGGAGTGTGAAATGCTCGAAGCAGTAGCATCTACTGAAATAAGATGTCGAAAAATAAACATTGTTGATTTATAAAAGAGAATAAACAATGCATCAATTGGGTAGACTTAATTAATTGATGCATTGTGAAAGAGATTAGGTAAACTTAAGTTCTTAGACTTATTTAATTGATGCATTGTGAAAGAGATTAGGTAAACTTAAGTTCTTATGAGTATTTATTTGTATACGAAAAATACGACATCACGAATCTCAAAGCAATCCAAAAACTAAGGCAGAATACTTCCGCGAAAGGTCCGAATGACCGACCAAACCGCGTAGTACGGATTTCTGGAAGTATAACGATCGATGGGAGAAAGGCGATCGACGCGCATATCGATCGATCAGCCAAACGCCGAGCCACCCGATCAACCAATGTTCCAAAGGTTCTGATAAAAAGAACACAAGTGGTCGACCAGGTGCCGACTCAAGACGATTGTCCACGAATCATCGATCGAGGGCCTACGCACAACCCAGGGGAATCGGTCGACTGAAACAAATGACCGCTAGATTAAATATCAGGCAAATAATTCTTGTAAATATTATTTTGGATTTTCCACAAGATTTACTAACCTTCACAAAGCTTAATGCTTAGAGGGTAAATTTGTAATTGTAATATTCTGACCGCCTATGTCTATAAATAGGTTCATTTCATATTAAAAGGGTTACACACTCTTTGCTTTTTCTTCTTCTCCTCTCTCTTGTACGCTTTATTTTTTGGGTGTGTTTGCTGGACAATTTTGAGTTCAAAATTCTTTTAGATGCGGTGAGCGTGGAATCTGTTGACCTCAATTTTCGTGAGGTCTAGTATTTCTCGTGGGAGTTAGGATCTAGCCTTAGGGGTCTTCCTGCGACTATCTTAGAACCTTAGAAGTGGGACC